CAAACATATCCAAAATCTGAGAAAAAGTTTTCTACAGAGGAACTAGATCATATTCATTTCTCCTGGGAGACCCAGGAGTGCTCACAGTGTGCTGAGCACGGACACCTTCGCGGGGTGGAATGATGATGCAGGTACACGAGCCGTGGAAATGTCCTCACTGTCAGAAGGAACTATCAAAGATAAAAGGGCTTGACAAGCGTATTTTTCAATCCTCTCTGCTAGCTGAGTCAGTGGAGCAGCTGTCTCCGCTCGCTGGAGAAACACTTGGCTTTCCAAAGCAGAAGTCCACACATTTGATTCCCATGCTGCCTGTATGTAGTTAGCTGGAGATTGCAGTAGATTTGTGGCCATGGATTGCTACACACACACATGCACTATAAGTAATTTATGCCAGGGAAATGCATGCACTGCAGCTCCGTGGTGTGTGGCATGATATAAAGACCCCCCCAGGCATTCCGTATGATTTATTAGTAGGGGCAGTACCACGACTTATTAGTGTGTGTATTACTGTAGCCCCAGGAGCCCCCGTCATGGACCCGCACTCCCACGCTAGCTTACACCTGAAGACGACAGATACCAGCTGGCCACAGACTGGTGGAGGAGCACAAGGAGACGCTGTTGGCAGCATGGCAGGCAGTGGCCTAACCGCTGTCCGGTTTTTGTAGGGACCCTGGCAAAGGAGAGTAGTGAGGAGGGTTTGGAAGGTGCATGATGAGGCGGCTTTGCAGAAGTTTATGGGGAGCACCCCCCAGGCACAAGGGGCAGCAGGGAGAAAACAGGCCACAGATCTTACAGACCAACAATTTTTTGGTTTTTTTTATCCCTGCATTTGTAAGTTAAGGTGCTGTACTTATGAGTCCAGTGGCGCAGGCCTCAGCTGGAGGAACACATGACTAATAACATTACGAGTTATAACACAGTACTGCCCGAACATGCTGCGCACGGCACATACACACAAGACACAGTTCCTACCCCGAGGGCAGACGTGGGAACCAGTGAGAGCCGCAGCGAATGAGGATGGGTGGATGAGTGTCACAAACAAATCCATCTAGGGCACTGATTCGACCCCCATTCCTGTAGTGCCTGAGAAGTCCCCACGCTTTAATGTATTTATCCTCACAACCCTCTGAGGCAGGGCAGTGCTGTTATCCCTGGAGCAGAGCGCAGGGATGGGCTAGGTTCACAAAGGGGACTTAGAAGTTGCAAGGCCTGACTCTGCCGTGCTCTTCCGGCCAGTGGAATTCACAGCCCCAAGCTAGGCGCCGGGGCTCCCCACACACGGCACGGGAGCGTTAGGTGCCTAAGAAAGAGACTCAGAAGCCAGTAAGCTGAGCGGGGAGGCACCCAAGCCAGCCAGGGCCGGCTGGAGGGAGGCACCGATCCCCACCCCTCTCCTGGAGTTAGGCACCTAGGCCAGGGCAGCCTGTCACCAGGGCCAGCTCTAGGCACGAGCAAAGCAAGCAGTTGCTTGGGGCGGCAGATTTGCAAGGGGCGCAAGAATACAGCCTGGGAGCTGAGAACCAACAGGGGGCCCTGGGAGCTGTAGTTCCTTGGTTAGCTGCCTGCCTATAGAGCCAGCCCTGGAGTAGGGAAAGAACTACATTTCCCAGCATTCCCTTGGCCACTACCAACAGGAAAGGGTGTGGGAAAGGAGTATGGAACTGAAATCTGCAGCTTGCTGTGAATGGTAGGAACAGAGCCAGCTCTAGGTTTTTTTCTGCCCCCCCCCCCCTGGGCCCCCCCCCGCCCACACCCCCTGCTGCCCCAGCCCTGGGCTCCCCCCCCCCGCATCCCCGGCCGCCCCAGCTCTGGCCCCCATCCGCACCTCCTGCCACCCCAACCCTGAGCTCTCCCCCGCCCACACCCCCAGCTCTGGCCCCCACCTGCACTCCCCTGCTCCCCCAGCTCTGGGCTCTCCCCCCCTGCACCCCTGCCGCCCCAGCTCTGGCCCCTACCCGCACCTCCTGCCGCCCCAGCCCTGGGCTCTCCCCCAAAGAAGGAATTGGGGGGACTAAATGGACGGTGCACCTCTCTATCTGAAGCCTAGCAAGGGAGGTATGTGGATCCCACTAGAATTTAAAATGAAAAGTAAGGGAGGGGAGGCTCTGGACCTGGGCAGCTTTAGATACAGTACCAGGCACTTAGGAGGATTTCCACTTCTGAGCCATGGAAGCAGAAATTGACTTTTCCTCTCCAGATATAGCTAATATTCAGAAAGGGAGTCTAGCACCTGCCTTCTAGATTTGAACACCTCAAAATTCAGGAGTGCTCAAGCTCAATTCGGGCAGCTGTTACTTCATTTCTCCCAAATCAAAGATACTGATCCACTGTAACTTGCTGTAGAAAAAGTAGAATAAATTGAGCAAGAAATGCTTCCCCGTGGTTATTAGGACTGGAATTACTATTTTCAACAGCCATTGCTTTTTTTTTTTTAAGTTTTAGTTTTATTTGTTTAAAAGGAAGACCGTGATAGTGCATTCCCCATAGAAACAAAGAATGGAACAAAAGAATAATAAAGGAACCTCAACTTTTCCTCATTTATGTAGGACAGTCTTATAATATGCTTCCAGATATCCTCCAGTCACACAAGCTGAAAATTGTTCCACTTTGCTGCAGTTCTGTAACCATATGGGAACCAATCCTGTCTGTGTTCTGTGCACATCCAAAATTCCTGCTGAATGACCCGCCCTGGGAGCGAGTTACCAGTGACCCAGGGCTGGGGCAGCAGGAGGGTGCAGTTGGGGGGGGAGGGAGGGGAAGAGCCCAGGGCTGGGGTGGGGGGCAGCCAAAAATTTTTTTGCTTGGGGCAGCAAAAAACCTAGAGCCGGCCCTGCCTGTCACAGGAAAAATGAGAGAAAGACCTGCCCCATTACAGCCCATAGT